TCCCCCTCTCCCATGTCCCCCCGGAACTGTCAGTCCCGTTGTTTTCTCCTCCAGATTGTTCATCCAGCCTGTCCTATCCAGACAGGCCCAGGCAGACAACCTTTAAGCAGTTGGCTTTCAAGGGCATATAGTAGCAGCCTTGTGCTTGCAAGTAACACCTTAAAATTGGCATTATTATGGGGAGACATCGTGGGGAACAACTTTTACTCAGGAGAATGTGAGTGAGACACATTTCCAACCCCCAAACATGAAGGTTTCCTCCACGGAAGCCTTGGCCTCCCAGACTCCTTAACGTATGAGTGTTGAGAGCTTGCTGTACACACGCTCTTCCCAGTTCAGTTGCCAACAGAGAGGGTGATGCGATTTCAGGAATAGACAGTGAAGGCGGGAGGGGGAGGGAGCACTAGAATGGAATGTGATTACACAGCTCGTTTTAAAGGTGATTTAGTCATGGGGGAGAAGAGAAAATGTTCTGAAATTGATTGTGATGATGATTGTACAATTCTCCTCGACATGATTGAATGGTATGATGTGGATTATGTGCCAATGAAACTGAAAAAAAAAAAAAGGAAGAAAAGAAGCAGGGGTTGTGGATCTTTCTGAACATCCCTGGGATTCACATCATCTGTGTATGAATCATTTGGTATCTTTGTACCAATGGACAGAAGGCACCTTCCCATCTCACGAGCTGTTTTGTTCAAGGTCACAAAATGAGTCAATCGGAAACACAGTCCCTCTGTTTCCCGTCCCTTGGGCCAGTATCTGTTTCTTTCCTGGACTTCATCAGACTTTGGTCCAGTTTGGACAGACAGGAAGCCTGCGCTCAGTCCTTGTGGTCTAGAAATGGGCAGGGAGTATGCTCGGTCAAGCTGGTGCCCAATGAGCTGTGATCTCCCTGCTGTTGCCATCTGGTTCTTGTGCTATGCACACCAGGAGTGAGTACCCCTTTGACAGTCAGTGTCGGGAGGGGAGAGTGGGGCGGTATGGACCTCACACTGAGTTAGACCTCTGCCATCAAGGGGTACCTGATATTTCTGCTCCTGGGGTCTAGCCACACCGGCTGCCATCTATCCCATGACTGGCATATGTGCCTAGAGACAGTCATGTCCTGAGACTGCAATTTGGTGATTCTGAGTCTTCAGAGAACAGCCCAGAAAGGAGAGTCTCTTCATTCTGATCTTTGGCTTCTAAAGGAGGAAGGCCCTAGTGGCTGGAATCTAGAACCCAGAATCCTTTCTGAAATATTCTCCCAGAAATGTTCGATGAGCACGTGAGTGCTCAAAATTCGGTCCATTCTCCATGTTGTAGCACCACCACCAGCAGTCACTCCCCGGATTTAACAGTACCCCAAGCAGAAACTCAGGACCCCATCAGCCTCTCTCCAGCCCCTGGTAATCACTAATACCTCTTCTCTGTATTTGCCTGTAATGAGATTGCATATCCTTGGGATCAGAGAAGGGCTGCCCTTCATGTCAGTATAACGTTCCAAGCCTTATCCACATCCTAGCACGGCTCAGAATTACTTTCTTTTTATGGTTGAGTAATATTCCCGTGTATGCGTTCTCCACGTTTTGATGGTCTAGTCATGTTGATGGACCCTTGGGTTGTCTCCACCTTTTAAGTTATTGCGAGGTAATGCTGCAAGGAACATTGGTGGTCAAGAACCTGCTTGTGTCCTGTTTTCAAGGCTCTTGGGCATATACACAAAGGAGTGAAATTTCTGGGTCTTATGGTGATTTTAACTTTTGGAAGAACCAGACACTTTCCATAGCGGCTGCACATTCTACGATGCTCTTACCAAGGAAGCAAGAGTTCTAAAGTCTTCACACCCTCACCAACACTTGGTCAGTTTTTTCTGACACTAGCCATCTTAGAGTAAGGTGACCAGACGTCCCGCTTTTGGCGGGACAGTCCCGAGTTCTAACCATTTTTCCTGGTTCCCATAGCATTTTACAAAAGTCCCGATTTGGAAAGAATGCACCACAAGCTCGGGTATACGGTTTTCGGCTGCCATGTGGCTATTTTGCCAGGGTATGAGTTTTATCAGTGGTGTCCTGCTTTACCAATGTTAAAATCTGGTCACCTTACCTTAGGGGGATGGGATAGGAGTCCTGATGATGTAGTGGTCCTGTGTTGGGCTGCGGTCTGCATGGTGGGCAGCCCCAAAGGAGAAAGGCTCCCTTACACAGCCAGTCTCCAAACCCACAGCTGGGTCACCATGAGTCAGCAGTGACTTGAGTTTGGTTTGCTACGGAGATAGGAGGCGTTTCATTGTGGTTTTGATTGGTATTTTCCTAATGACTAACAACCTGGAGTTTCTCTTCGGTGTTGATGAGTTCCGGGTGTATCTTTTTTTTTTTTTTTTAATTAATTAATTAATTAATTTTTTTTTTTCCGGGTGTATCTTATTGAAAGAATGTGTTCAACTTTTTGGGATACATGATCAAACCATCTTCCCAAGAAGCTGTACTAAGTTATAATACATGTGTGGCCTCAACTTGGTTTTCTGTTTGGGCCTTTGAAAAATTGCTTAATACAGGAACACATTCTCGAACAAAATCCAAACATTAGAGGATTCAGGGAGGACAAAAAACAAAACCCAAACCGTTCCCCTGTAACCACCTTCCAATCCTGGTCCCTGGGTCAGGCCTTTGTCATCAAGTTGGGGAATTAATCTTTTGCATAAAAATAAGGCATTTGCAGCCCATGTCCTGCTGTGGAGCTTCTTAAACACAGGTTAAAGCTACGTAGATGTGTTCATTGGTGGTCTCCTCAAAGTCATTTTTTAGGCCACAAAAGATGCCCAAAGAGGGCATGCAGGGCATTTCGTATACCTGTTTGGCCACACAGCCCTTTGACCTTTGACATTAGCATGGGACTGATGGTCCCTGAAACAAACTTTGGGCACCCAGACTTTTCTAGCTTCTCATTTTTCAATCCGTGTGTGTGTGGGGGTGTCTTCTTTTCCTTGGCTGGGGTGTTTGATGCCCAGACTCTCATGCCCGTTCCCCCCAGAACACAGATGACAACCTCGTGTTTAAACAAATGCTTTAATGAGTGTTGTTCGGGGCCCCTCCAGTCCTCACAGCGCGGCCCTGGTGAAGGAGCTGCCCTGGGGCAGGGAAATGGCGTCTAAGCTGGGGCAAAAGGAGAGTGGAGAGGCGCCCAGTGGGCCCTTGGCTGGGAGCAGGGCATGGGGGCGGGCCTCAGGCTGGTCCCTCTTCAGGCATACCTAGCAGAGCCACGAGGGGCTCAAGGGGCGTGGTGGGGGTCCCCACAGACACGGGGTGGGTGCGCTCGTGCTTGCGCAGGTCGCTGGCACTCAGGAAGCCCTTGGGGCAGTGGGAACAGGTGTAGGGGCGCACGGAGCTGTGGGTGCGGCTGTGCTTGCGCAGGCCGGCCCGGTCGGAGAAGCTCTTGCCGCACTGGGTGCAGGGGAAGGGCCGCAGCTCTGGGTGCGAGCGCTCGTGGCGCCGCAGTAAAGTCAGCGTGGAGAAGGCCTCCTTGCACTCCCGGCAGGCAAACTGCGGTGGCTTCTCGTCCACCTCCCCACAAGCCACTTCGCCAGACCCCGCCAGGGGGCCGGAGGCCTCCCCGATGCCAGCGTTCTGGCATTCCACGTGCTCCACCGTCATGCCCACCACTTGCCACTGCGTGGCCATCATGCCACCCGGCTCCGAGGGCAGCCCGAGCAGCCCAGCTGAAGGGTCGCCTAGCCCCGGGGCGGCAGCGGGGGCGGCCGGGCCCTCCCCCGCCACGCCCACCGGCAGGGCCAGCCCCATGACCAGCTCCTGCTGGGGCGGTGCCCCGGCCGCCTCGCTGCTGCGGTGGGTCCGCTCGTGCTTCCGCAGGCTGGACGAGACGACGAAGGACTTCCCGCAGGCGCTGCAGTGGAAGGGCCGCTCCCCCGAGTGCACGCGGCTGTGCTTGGTGAGGCTGGCGCGCTCGGCGAAGGCCCGCCCGCACTCCTCGCAGCGGAAGGGGCGCTGGCCCGAGTGCACCAGCGTGTGCCGCTTGAGGTCCCAGGACGCCACGAAGGTCTTGTCGCACTGCAGGCACTTGAAGGGCCGGTCGCCCGTGTGCACGCGCCGGTGCATGGCCAGGTCGGCCGGCTGCCGGAAGTCCTTGCCGCACTTCTCGCAGCGGTACGGCTTCACGCCCTCGTGCGCCCGCTGGTGCCGCCGGAAGCTGGAGGGGTCGGAGAACATGCGGCCGCAGCGCGGGCACAGGAAGGGCTTCTCGCCCGAGTGGGTGCGCTCGTGGCTCTGGTAGGAGCTGAGCTGCGTGAAGCCCTTGCCGCAGGCCGGGCAGCGGTAGGGCTTCTGCGCCGCGTGGATGCGCTGGTGGCAGGTGAGCGAGGAGGAGCGCGAGAAGCTCTTTCCACACTCGGAGCACAGGAAGGGGCGCTCCCCGGTGTGGGACCTGTGGAAGCATGAAGGCCCGGCATGAAGGGTGACCCTGCTCCTTGGCTGGGCTGCAGCTCGCGCCCCCCAATATCCTTGGGTACCTCATATTCATCTTTTAAGAGCCACCGGGCGGCGATCCCGGAATTAGAAACCTTCAGGTTCCAAACAAAACAAAGCCGGTGCCAGAATACCCCCCCTCACTGCCATCGAGTCAATGCCAAGTGCTAGCGACCCTCTAAGGCGGGGTAGAATTGCCCCTGCGGATTTTCGACAGGCTTTACCAGTAGAAAGCCCTGTCTTTCTCTCACGGCGTGGCAGGGGGTTTAAACTGCCTACATGTGGATCGCAGCCCAACCCATAACGCATAACAGTACAAAGCCACCCTCTACAGGGCAGGGTAGAACTGTGGGTTTCCCCTTTGGGGTTCCAATACAGTAATCTTTACACGGAGCAGCTGGTGGGTTAGAACTGCTGACCTTGCGATTAGCTGCCCTACGTGTTACATACTATGGCACCAGGGATGCCCAAGGGCCTCTATTTCGGATAAGACCCTCTGTGGCCCAAAGACCTAGGCAGATCATTTATACCTGCACCGAGCACTTCAGGCGCCACTCTGCTTCAAGCCCTGCCTCCTCACTCCCCGCGCCCCCATGTCCTCGAACCCAGTCAGAACCCACCCAAACTCCTGGACTCTACCCGGACATCAGTACTGGAGACACACTACCCTGCCCCAAGCTCTTCCCACAGCCCCGCCCACCACCTTCCCATTCGCCACAGGGCAGTAGCCCCACCCACCTGCCCCTTCAAAGCCCCGCCCACCACCTTCCCATTCGCCACAGGGCCGCAGCCGCCCCACCCACCTGTCACAGCAAAGCCCCGCCCCCAGCTGGAGCCCTCACCGCTCGTGGTTGCGGAGGTCCTTGAGCTCCGCGTAGGCCTTGCCGCAGCGCTCGCAGCTGTAGGGCCGCAGGCCGGCGTGCGTGCGCCGGTGCTTGCGGAACACCGAGGGGTCTGCGAAGCTCTTGCCGCAGTCGGCGCAGGCGTAGGGCCGCTCGCCCGTGTGGCCGCGCTGGTGGATCTTGAGCTTGGAGAGCGCGCCGTAGGCCTTGGGGCAGTGCGTGCAGCGGAAGGGCAGCTCGCCCGCATGCGAGGCCAGGTGCACGCGCAGGCACACGGGCTGCATGAAGCGGCGGCCACACTCGGGGCACGGGAAGGGCTTCTCGCCCGTGTGGCTGCGCCCGTGGCTGCGGAGCTCGGGGGCCGTCTTGTAGGCTTTGGGGCACAGTGGACACGCGTAGGGCCGAGGCTTAGCAGCTGCACCCGACCCTTTGTCCCCGCGGGCCTCCTCTGGCTTGGGCTCTGTCTCCGGCTTTGACTTTGCCTCCGCCACCTCCTCTTTGCCATCGGCAGAGCTGTGCGTTGCAGCGTGGCGCGCTGCCCTGGGTGCGTTTGGAAAAGTCTTGGTGCAGGACAGGCACTTGTAGCGGCGGCCCGCGCGCTTGTAGCCAGCAGCTGGAGACTGGGCCTCTGCAGACTCCGCCTCCATGACCTTAGTGGGCGGGGCTTCTGCGAGAGAGGCAAAATTAGAGAGGGGCCAGACTGTCCCTGCACCAGGCTCTCAGGCCTCTCTGAGTACGGCCTCAGAGGCAATCCCATTTGCTCTGCAATTCCCACCCAGGGCTGTGGCTCAGCCGGAACCAGGCCCCCCCACACACACACACCCCCTTTCCCAAGGGCTCTGACACCTTACATTCACGTTCCCTCTGGTCTGTTTATTGGAGAAAGAAAGTTACATTAGGGCACCACAGTGTCCACCTGGAACCCCTGGATGTCTCCAGAATACTGTGGTACGGTTCCCAGAGGGCCAAGACTCCACCTGCCTCACCATCAACCTTTTGATCGGTGTCCAATGCCTGTGACAAGCAGGAAGTATACCCAGATGGGGCACCAGCCTGCTGGTCACCCAGTGATAAGAGGGTGGCACCGTCTGCCTGGCAGCTCCAGGTCACCAGCAGATGTGCTCTGTCTTTTCCCTTGGGTTGGTTAAGCCCTTGTAGCAGCAGCTGTAGTTTTCTGGCCTCCCACAGCTGTAAGGGACCCCACCTAAGCCAGGAATCCTGGAAGCCCTGTCTGCCTCCTGTTCCCAGACCTCTGTCAACGGAGAGCTGTCTTACAGAGGGGCCTGAGCCATCCCTGGCCGTCAGAAGGCTCGGAGTCACAATCCTGGAATCTGATATTGACATACCTGGCTCTGAGACCCCTACTTTCTTGGTCTCAGCCCAGACTCTCCAGCCAGTAGCTCCGGGTGGAGGATCATGGTCTGGAGGAAATAGGATTGGTGGCTGTGCTAGTGTAACACCGGCTCATCCTTCCAGGGATGAAGGGAAGAGGATTATGGCTGATCCACTTAGGGAGGACTTGGTAGCAGCTGGGGGTGCTGCGGGAGGAGGTGGGGGAAATAGTGGTCTGGAAAGGGGAGGGGCACTAGATATCCCTAGAGCCACTAAGTGGACAGTGGGAGCTCTGGGATCTACTTCCAGCCATGTGGGCAACTTGCTGCCAGAGAGCTCAGGGAAATGAGTGCTCTTCTCTCATCTGTGCCTGTCTGGGGTGGTGGTTTCTGAGGCTGAGGGAAGGCAGGGGACATGAGAGGCGACTGGAGCCGAGCTATGCCGAGACCTAAGCCTCTGGAGGTGCAAGGCCCCCTCGCCCCAAGAAAGGACGATGGGAAGAGCTCAGTGACTCGACAGGAGTCCCGGGGTTGAGGGCAGCCTCAGCAGCTCTACTCTCCTGCCTGATGGCCCAACGTCAACTTCCCCTCTTTCCCACACACCATAGCTCATGCTTTTCCCTAAAGCACCGTGTGATGCACTCTGTCTGTCCTCTGATCAAGAATTACTAGGAAAAACAACAACAACAACAAAGAAGGCCCAGGGTTCCCATCACACCAAAGATCCAACCTTCCCCATGGTTTGAATTCCACAGCTGTTTCCACGGGAGCTTTCCTCCACCTCCTTGGATGAGTGCTCACTACCTCTCTTCTAGGCTATCTAGGGGCGGGCTGCCTGCTGGAAGCCCCGTTTCACAGATACGGGGACTGAGGCCCAGGACGGTGGTGCCTGGCTTCGAATCTTGCCTTCATCATTTTCCTAGCTGAGGTGATCTCGGGCAAATTTACTTCATGTCTCAGGAGCTAAGGTTGCTCACCTGAAAAAACGGAGATAACAATGGTACTTACCTCATAGGGCTGGGTGAGGACCGAATGATATAAGAATCATTATCAAGTCTTCTCCAGCCACGAACTTTGTGCAGCAGGTTACCTTGCTTAACTCACACACAACTTCCTGAGCTACCCCATCCTTTTACTGAAGAGCCACGTGAGGTCCTAAGAGCTCTGTGGACGCGTCACAGCCACAAAGCTAGTGACCCCAGCAGCTGTCACTTGAACCCAGCACTATTTATTCTGTCTGTCCTCTGTTGGGCCCTGTTGCCCAGGCCTGCAGGTGCCTAGCTCCATACAGAGGTGAGGGCCAAGTAGGTTGGGGCACTGCCTGAATCCGACCATTGACACCTCTCCTCATTGCTTACCGGGGGCTCTTCCCACCCGGAACCCCACATCAGTGACTCACCCTAGGAGCTGGAGACAAGACTCAGAACTCCATACTTTAAACACATTTCCTGGATCATCACTGAAGACCTAAACAAACACCCCTGGGGTCTCCTAAGAAGGCTCCCCACCCCCCACACTCATATTTCATTGTTGCCCAGGAAGGTTTGCCTAGACATTTAGGTTCACACTCAGCGATTTCTCCACCCATCATTCGGTGACATTGGCTGCCGTCATCGCAATGTGTGAACACATGCTCATTATTTCTGTTCTGATAGCTCTGTTTCCATCAGTCTAGTTTCCCTGTTCCCTTACATCCTCGTCTTTAAGGTTCTTGGTGAGCCTCTGGTATTAGAGGAGCCCTGGTGGGGTAGTGGTTACGTAATGGACTGCCAACTTCGAGGTCGGCTGTTCAAAACTACGAGCCGTTCCTTGGGAGAAAGATTGGGCGTTCTATTCTTTAAAGAGCTGGTCTTGGAACTTCGTGGCAGTTCTACCCTGTCATCTGTCATGCCTTGAGTTTGGTTTAGGTTTTGGTCTGGTCTCAGACAGGTGATTCTTTAAAGGAGTCCAGTACCTTTTTGAGTCGCTTTGTTGTTTAGCTTTGTAGGGTCAGTAACCTCAAAGTTCAAGTGTGAAGAACCATCTCAAAGCAATCATAGCCTCAGGGAGTCCTCCAGTCTCCCACCGGCCCAGCAGGTCTGGTTCTGTTTGTGCTTTTGAGCATTTGAGGCTCTGGCCCACATTTTCTTCCCTTCGATCAGGGCCCATCGACTGTGGCCCTGAGTAAACGGTTAGTGGTGGTAGCTGGGCACCATCTAGTGCTTCTGATCTCAAGGGAGACAGGGCTGTGGTTCCTGGAGATTAGTTGTCCTGGAGACTAGTTTCATCATCAAGTCTTTGACGTCCTGATTTCACATTTACTCTAAATGAGTAAAGACCAACAGTTGTATCTTAGATGGCTACCTGTAAGTGCTTATGACGGCAGGCACTACTTAAATTAGGATGCAGAATATAACTTTAGGAACATATATATTATGCCAGTTGACTGAGATGTCCCATGAGACATCTGGTCCTAATCCCTCAAACCCAGAAATCCAATCTTGTGAAGTATTTCTTTTCTTTTAAAAAACATTTTATTAGGGGCTCATACAACTCTTATCACAATCCATACACACATCAATTGTGTAAAGCGCACTTATACTTCATTCTCAAAACATTTTCTCTCCACTTAAACCCCCGACATTAGGTCCTCATTTTTCCCCTCCCTCC